ATGAACAAGCCCAGCTCCCTCAAAAGGCAAATGATCCTAGCCTCAATCTAGCTTGGTAGTCCTGCAAGGACCTTGCTCCAGATTATCAATGTCTTTTTTGTATTGGGGGAACCAAAAGTGCATACAGTATTCTAGACACAGTGTAGTGAGTGTTGAGTAGAGAGGGATAATCCCTGCCCTTGATCCCTTGGCTGTGCTCCTCCTAACATAGCCCAGGATGCTGTTGACTTCTCTGCTGCCAGGGCTCACTGCCGGCCCAAGTACAACTCACTGCCCACCAGGACCCCAGCGGCCTCTGCAGCGGAGCTGCTCCCTGGACAGGCAAGCCCCAGCCTGTATCATTGCCAGGGGCTCTTCCTTCCCAGGTGAAGGACTTGGCAGTTGACATTGTCGAATTTCATGAGTTTCTTGAATTTGCTGGCAGTCCATTTCTCTAACCTGCCCCGGTCTCTGTCAATGGTGTACTGACTGGACTCTCCAATTTGGTGTCATCAGCAAGCTCTCTGTGAGCTCCTCCAGATCACTGACAGAGATGTTAAAGAGAACGGGCTGCAGGATAGACACCTGAAGAACACCACTTGCCATGGGAACCCAGGAGGATAATCCATTAACCACCACCCTCAGCCTAAGCATTCAAGCAGTTGTCCACTCACCCATCTAGACTGAGACTAGCAACAGTGTAGTAACTAACAGGTAATTTTTTTTCCTTGTGTCAAAATAATAATAAAACTGATAATAATAATGTTTTAAAAATTACATTTTTTTTGTTTGTTTTGACAGTTGAATGCATACTGAACATGGCTATCTAACTAAAGAAAAAGATCAGGAAAAAAGTCATTACCACTGCTTTTAGTCATTACATTCACTACAGGTAAAAAAGTCAGAAGATGATACAGAAATAATTTGTATGAGACCAGTGCTTTGGATCAGACGCTGTTCTGCTCTAAAGTACTACTGCACACCATTACCAGCGTCATGACCATCCAGTTTCCATGTACAGAAGGATGCGACGATGCCATCACATCCATCAGGTCCAGCAGTGCTGCCATTGCATCCATTAGGCCCACCACTCCTGCTTGTCCCATCTCAGAGCCCAAGGGCCAGGACTACGATGGACAGACTGACAGTCATGGCAGGGGCCACAACCCCCATTTCACCCCCT